CGTATAAAATAAAAATCTAATGATTTTACTTTTTTTTTTCTCATACTGGGCATTAATTTTATGTTTTATTTTAAAATACATTTACATCTAAAAAAGAGTTTTCATCAAATAAATCTACATTAAAAGATAAATTATTTAAATGTTGAAGATAGTTTTTCCCCATTTTTAATGCATTCCCGGTTTACGTATTTATTAAATTAGTAAACCATTGTTTCTAATATTAAAAGATACCAAAAAATACACGAAAAATATCCAAATAACTTATTTACCACATATAAAAACAATGTTTATAGATAAACTAAACCAAAACTCATATTCGGCACGTGCAGCGACAACGTACTTTTGTCACTCAATGACGTCAGAGGATAAAGAGAGACGGAAGATAATGATGCGCGTGGACATGCCATGAGTCTATGTCACGTTACCTACGTCAATTTGTCAGTAACACAAAACACAACCCTATTAAAAATGCCCTATAGAACCCATATTGAACTAGATAAGGAAACTAATATGGATTTATATGGTTCTATATGTCCTATATGGAACGACCTGGTTTACACTAAACTGCGCACCATTCAATGTGTCGCGACCAAAAATTTCGTCCTTTTTCAAAACGACATAACTTTTTTGTTTCTTGAACGATTTTATTTTGGTTTGTAATGTCTGCTAGCCCCATTCTCTGGCAATTCATACTATATATATGAAGCTCACGGTTCTTCAAGTAAATTTACTACAGGGTGATATGTAAAACAGTGAAAAATTTCAATAACTTCATCCAAGGCCCGTTTGTAAAATAAATATTTTTTTCTCGTTTTTACTTTGAAATAATGAAGTATTTTGTCTTGAAACGTTTTTAAAATTTTTCGTATTGGAACCTTAGCAACAAAAATATGATTTTTTTTACATGGAGTACATTTGATGCTTTTTTGTAGGCGTGGATGAATTGGTAAGTTCAATTCAAGAAGAATGGGAAGCCATACCCAAGGAATTTCTAAGGAACTTGGTCTAGGGAATGCCCAGGAGGGTTATCGAAATATTACGGGTTAGGGGAGGGCCAACGAAATATAGAAAGTTATTATTGTTATTGTTTGTTACATTTTTCTGTTGAATGTTGTAGTTTTTTAATGATTATATCTTCGCATAAAATTTTCAAATATGAACAAACAAATTTTGTACTTTATTACCAATTAGGTAGATACTTATCAGTAATAAAATATCACTAGTGCGCAATATAAATGTAATTTATGTAACATTATCCTAACCACTCAAACAAATTACAGTAATTTCTCCCAAAAAATGAATCCCCAAATGGCATTGGCAAAGACATTTAACAGCCGGAAATTGTTTTCGAATTTTGATTCTTGGTGATTTTGGTTTTATCTAAAACTTAAATTTGACAACTGAATCACATCAGGAGGTCAAAATTATAAAGCAAACATGTCACGAACGTTAATATCGGTTCAGGTTTAGTTTTCGGAAATTTTCTCCAAAATGCCATTTTAAAAAAGTGGTCTTTGCTTAGGTTCCTCTGAAATTAATGGAAGTTTGTTGCTTGTCGCTTGTTCAGAATTATTCAAGGAACAATCTTTCACCATCTTATCTTTTTTATCTTAAAAAGTCTGAGTGTATTGCCTACAAAAAAGCATCAAATGTAATCTTTTGAATAAAAAAATCATATTTTTGTTTTCAAGATTCCAATTCGAAAAATTTGAAAAATGGTTCAAGGTAAGACATAATACTTCATTATTTCAAAGTAAAAACGAGAAAAAAATATTTTTTTTATAAACGGGGCTTGGATGAAGTTATTGAAATTTTTCACCGTTTTACATATCACCCTGTAGGAAATTTACTTGAAGAACCGTGAGCTTCATTTCTATAGCATAAATTTCCAGAGAATGGGGCTAGCAGACATCACAAACCGAAATAAAATCGTTCAAGAAACAAAAAAGTTATGTCGTTTTAAAAAAGGACGAAATTTTTGGTCGCGACACATTGACTGGTGCGCAGTTTATATGATTTAATATGGAATTTCATTTTAAAATGTACAACTTAGGGATTTTTATATGGATTTATCTGGTTTATGTTTTATGTGTCTTTCCATATAGGTTTCCCTATATGGTTGAATATGGAATTCCATTTTAAAATGTATATTTAAACGAAAATTGCATATTAAACCATATAGATTCCCCTATATGGTTAAATATGGATCTATATGGTAATAATTTTTTCACACCCAAACCATATTGGGCCAGATAGAGCAATATGAACCTATATGGCAATCCATATTGTAATGGTTCAGTATTTTAATACGTTTTACAAATTTATTTTTAAATAAGTTTGGAATTTCTAAATTGTGTTGTAAAATGTAAAAATCTTTGCAAAAGAAGTAAAAAAAACGGACGTTTAGGTATAAATTACAGTTTCGTGGAAGACCGAAATTTTGCGTGAAATGGGAAAAAATCTGTTGGCCAGATGAGGCGAAAACAAGATCGAAACTGGAAGAGGGGAGCAAAGAAAGTGGCAGAAACTTTTCCGAAGTGTTAGAGAACGCATCGTTTTCGTGAATCTTTGCTAAAACCATAATTATTGTAAAATTCTGTGTAAACGATTGTTACGAGTGTTTGTGTATTCTCCCAGGTTCGTTCTTAATTTTAGTAGCCCAATTCTGTAGTAAAGTCCACTAAACGTAGAACGATTTTGATTTGAATAAACTGAGCATTAGTTATTTTGCACTACTACGTTTAGTGAATTTTACTCGATATTAACACCTTTTGTTTTAGCTATTTTTATAGAATGTTTTTACCTTTTAAGTTTACTGCTAAATGTAAAAATTTATATTCCTTTCTTTTATTGTCTTAGGCTTAATTTAGTTGTATACTACTCAAATGTTTAGACCCTCCCTCAACACGATTATGGATTTTTTTGCGGTAATTTTAAAACAAATATCAGTGTAATACAGGACGTTTCGTTGCTTAAAAGGGAGTATTGACCGTTAATTTTAAACTTTGAATGCTCCTTTTTCTTTAGTACGTAGTTTGCAGTAGATACTAAAATACTATCCTCCGTGAGGGATAACTGGTCACCTAGGTTCTCTAGGTGGCATCGCAACTTTTATCCCGAAACTGCATCTTTACGCGAGTTGTTTCCAGTGCGGACCTCGTCCTCCACAGGGCAACGTTAACGTTGACAGACTAACAGTTAACTGCCCTGTTAAACTAACAAAGTTTTCCTATTTTTTTTGAACCCGTAGGGGTAGATAGTGTAACGAGCGTCGTGTCATTCCATTGATTTGCATAAACTTTTAAAGAAACAATGCCTAATCGTGTAATCCTTTGCTACTTCATAGCCGAACAGGGTTTTTTCTCAAGCTCTTTTTCCCTGGTCGTATCTCCCTAAGAGCCACCCCTTGTTTTTTTTAACTGTTTGTAAAGTAAATTAAATTGGAGTAAACAAAACACTGTATTTTATTTTTTTGTATACCTAATTTTCCCTAGTATGATTCTTAAAGCAATGTATTTAATAAAACAAGTAACAAGTAACCACAAAGTAGAGGTCCAAATTTTGATAAGACGATCACGAGCCATAGTCACAAAATAGTTCATTTAATAATTTTTCATAAAACTTGTTTTAACGAACCTGGTGTAAGGAGAAATCTTTACAATATAGAAATCACTTTTCTATATGGTTTTCCAGGTATGGAATTCTATTTGGTTCATTAGTGCAATGCCTGTTTCAAATTCCTATATTGAACCAGATAGATTTTTATTTTGTGTTTCTATATGGCATTTTTAATAGGGAATTATATTTTATTATAGTAGGTATGGCTATTTTGTCCTTTGTCCTATTTTGTCCTGCATAGTTTTATACGCAAAAGTAAGAGACAAATTTAAGTTCTTTAGTCTTATTGCTTATTTCTTATTTTCATGAACATAAACGCAACCATTACTTTACACAACTGCAGTTTCAACTTTTTATATTATTTCTTATTTTAAGTAAGCATGAATAGTATTCTTTGAATACGCCTTAAATTATAATTTCTTCCATAATTATAGAAGGCTTGAAGATAAATGTATTAAATTATAAATTAAAAAGGTATTTTTTAGCCTTGTTTCTCAAAATTGAATAAAATAATTGCATTGTGATATACCTATAATTATGTTAAAAAACTTGCTGCAATATAAATTTTTAGTTTATTAATTAAAATAAATTGACGATTAGGATGACGATACTGGAAGTGTCTATCGCTATAACGAGTCGTTCAGAAGCTTCCGAGCATGTTTCTTATTAGGTTGAATAAAATAATTGCATTTTGAAGTATAATAAACTTGCTGCGATAAAAACTTTTACTTAAAAAATTTAAATAAATTGACGACACGTCTGATGAAGACACAAACGCTACCGTCATTGTTGGTAGGGCAGTTGCACATAATACATAAATATCTACTATATGTATTATCGCCCCTGTAGCACTATTGCCAATAACAATATAAGGTGAATCTAAAAAATGATTTATTTTTAGTAATAGTAAAAAAAAGTTTAAAGCAATTCGAAGATTCGAATTGAGGACCCTAGAAGCCAAGGGGTACAAGTACATTTTGTTTAGTTTTGAGATAATCATTTTTGAAATAAAAAACCACCTGGAATTTGGAGTCAAAATTATTACATGTACATAACTACATTTTTTTTTAAATATCATTTTTATCCCTTGGCTGGGGTCCTCAATTATTTCCTAAGTTCAATTTTTTTCATGAACACTTTCGTTCCATTTTAGATGTATTTTAATCTCTAATTTCTTTTACTCGAATATTTTTATAACCCGAACTTATTTATTAAGTTTCCTTCTGAGTTATCTGCAAATTTACTCCTTATATTATAATTTTGTAAATATAATTATATATATTATTATACCCTAGCAATCTACAATATTTTTTCATGGTAAAATTTTAATTAAAAAAAATAATTTTATGAAATATTGTTTTTTATATTTATTATATTTTTAGGAAGGCGAAAACAATGAAAAATTTGACTCCCACCCGAGGCACCCATCGGCATTACCGGCGTACCTTATGGTACACAACTCATGGTATTACGGTCTGGATCTGACATTCTCCATAGTATTGATTCTTTTAGCTTTGGTTGAAAAACCATCAGTTGACCAATTTGAACTTCCTGTTGGGGTTCATGGTACCATTGAACTATTTGCTCTTGGAGTCATTGCTATTGAATTAGCATTGAAGTTAAGATGGATTGGGTGGTCAACAATATTTAATCATAAGAGGACAATGGTTAAGGTAGGAATAATTTTAAATAAAAATCCATCTTCTTTGATGTTTGGTTTATAATATTATTGTTTGAAATCGTACTTTTATAAGAAGTTGAAAACATTTTTATTATTATTATTATTTTAATCACGGGCTTTAATTTGGCAAGATTGAAGCTTGTAAGTGAGTGTATAATAAACGAGTGTCTAGGGAAGTTTATAAAATAAATAACATACTATACATTTACTATGACAAACAAAGATTAAATAATTTTCAAATATACCTTGATAAATAAAATATGACATCTTTCAGACAGTTTTAACCTTAATTTCTAAATAAATTGTGTGGTTCGGTTAATACATATATTGAAATAAGCCCTCGTATGTACAAAACAATAAAATTATGAATAAAATGGAATATGACTTTACAATAAACAATGATAAAATGAATAATGCGAAAATAAAATATTAAACCGAAACTGAATGCTCAGTATACGGCCCAGAGAAAAAAATATAAATTAAAGTGGAGTTTCTGAAACAAACAAACAGAAGATTATTTACAACTTGCGTTAATTACAGCTGAAGTCGGTCGGTCGGCGGTCGGACGGCAATTCTTTCGCTGGTACGGACTGGTGCAAAATTAATTCCTGCTCGGAGGCGCTGCTCCCGCTTATATGCCCTCTGGTCTCCCTCCTATAGCGGGATGCGCGCTTCTCAATCGTGACATCAGGATTGGCCAATCACGTTAAAGGCCAGCCTCGTTGCAGATTTCATGATTCGGCTGTATCTGCCCGTTGTCGAGTTTTATAAAAAACGAGCATTAGAATTTCTGCGAGTAAGTAAACAATCGGGCTCCTTTTTGCTGGGCGCGTAGACTACCATAGGGGTCATTCCGGTGGTAGTGCTACATATGGGCTATTCCGGGGGTCGTTTATGACTTACGTGATTTAAATCATTTGGATTGTAATTCTATGGCACAGGGTAGGAATAGGGAAAAACTTCGTTACAGTTTCGATAACTGGCATGATCTTTAGGTTGTTGTTGGGATTGTTTTTAATAAGTTTTAGATCTATAAGGTCGATTTCTGCAAATTGGTAGGAATATTCGATTTCGAATGGTAGTAAACAATGTCTTCTGCCCGAGCTTCTGCCTATGTTGACGTACTCCTTTAGGAGGGGGAGGGATTGTATTATATAGGGTTTGGATTTTTTTCTCCAGTATGTAGTTGGACGGGAACAATCGATTTTTAAAGAAAACATTATATGAATTATAGGGTGTTCTTTGTATCTTAATATTTTTAATAGCAATTTGCTGGTTAGCCAAATTCGTCTTTCATTTAACGGAAGTTCCGAGCACTCCCACATTGGTGGGAGTTGATCTCATTAGTCCTGTTATTGTTCTGAGAGCTTTAAACTGGATGTAGTACAGTCATCTTAGTCAAAAAAAGGGATCAACCTCGGAATCTAACGGAATAAGCTGAATTTTTGTGAAAAACTTTATTTTAGCATTACAAATGTTGTCTCAAAAGTCACATATGCCAACGTGTGAGCGGCCTTAGATATTCAAGGTCAAAGGTCGCAAAAATCAGTTTTTTGAAAATATCTCGTTTTCTCTACCTCCTATCGTATTTGCATTTATTATAAAAGTTGTAGAGAATTTTATTTTAAATTTTGTTTACAATTTTTTTATACGTCGAACCGTTTTTGATATAGAGGGCGCAGAGTGTGGAGCGCTCAGCCATACGTACCTTTAGCGCAAGGTAAATCGTGAATCCCAATCTATTATACCGTTTTTTTAATTAATTATATAATAAATATTACTTATATAAAAATTTAATACCTTATACTTATATTTATATTTCTTTTAAATCAAATATATTTTATCTTCATATTTATCTTATATTTTAATTTAATTTTAATGAAGGATAATTGGATTGGAGTAGGAAAAAATGTTTTTATTTATATCAATATTATTATTATTATTATTAATCTTTATCTTCTTCATCCTCGTCTTCTTCACTGAATCAGGTTGGCCAGCAATTTCAGACTCATTCTCATCATCACTCTCCTCGTTATCATTGACATTAATTGTCATATCTTCAAAAACTTACTTATAACGCGTTTGTACTTTGCAGATTTTTGTTGCCTCATCTGCGACTTCACCACAAAATAAGCACAATATTTTAAAATCAAACACATCATTCCCTTTTTTACGAGGTAAAGTCGATGACGTTGAAGGTCCAGTCTCTTCAAGGCGACGTTTTGCTGCTGCAATTTTACTATAGTACGCTATAGCGTACAATTTTTGACATTCAATATGAACGTTCACAGAAGTCAAAGTATTTAGGTAGTTTATGTTTATTTCTCTCAATAATTGCTTCTTTTAAAGTCTTTAAACCGCGCACAAAAGTCACAGAATCACCTTCAGAAAGTAACATATTACAAATAAAAAACAAATCAGCCGTGTTAACCTTTAAAATATTACGAATATTACCTGTCACAACCCTAGACCTATACCTAGGGTCACAACTTGCTTTAAATATAGGTATACCTAACCTTTTTATTTATAGCAAGCCCACAGTATTTCCAGGTGTGTTATTTTAAAAGCAATATCTGGATCCAAGAGATGACCAGAGACATATTCAAGGCAAATTCATTTAATGTCTTTTCTTCTTAAAATGCATTTATCATTAATTAGAATAACATTAGAATATATTTAGAATGATTCACTTTATTATTTAATTATTTGTATGTCAAAAGTAAGTAATATTTAATGACTATTTGTTTTAAAAAAATATATAAAAATAAATATAAGGTATTAAATTGTTATTTAAGCAATAATTAATAAATTATGAATTAAAAAAACGGTATAATAGATTGGGATTCATGATTTACCTTGGGCTAAAGGTACGTATACGTATATGGCTGAGCGCTCCACACTCTGCGCCCTCTATCTCAAAAACGATTAGACGTATAAAAAAATGTTTTAAACAAAATTTGTAGACAATTTTATTCTCTACAACTTGTATAATAAATGCAAATACGATAGGAGGCAGAGAAAAGGAGATATTCTCAAAAAATTGATTTTTGCGACCTTTGACCTTGAATATCTAAGGCCGCTCACACGTTGGCATATGTGACTTTTGAGACAACATTTGCAATGCTAAAATAAAGTTTTGTACAAAAATTCAGCTTATTCCGTTAGATTTCGAGGTGAAATGCCTAGATGACTGGACTAATGGTGTTCATTTTGTTATTTAGGGATTTTTGAATGGGGCTAAATAGTATGCTACCATGATATAGATGTGATCTAACAATTCCAGTATATAGTATATGTAGGATTTTAGGGTCTGCCCCACACCATACTCTAGAGACGGCTCTTAGGACATTTATTCCTTGGTTTGCTTTTGCGATTATTTTATTTGTGATCTAACAATTCCAGTATATAGTATATGTAGGATTTTAGGGTCTGCCCCACACCATACTCTAGAGACGGCTCTTAGGACATTTATTCCTTGGTTTGCTTTTGCGATTATTTTATTTACTTGTTGTTTCCAGTTGAGATTTTCTTCAAGAATGATTCCTAAATATTTTACAGAGGATTTTCTTGATATTATTTTGTCGCCCATCTTGACTGCAGTCAACTGCACCATGGTGGTGGAGTGACTCTAGATTTTCTCTTTTTGAACCAGATGTATTCAGTTTTCTCAGCCGAGCAGGATAGTTGGTGGTCATTTAGCCACTTTATTGTAATGTATGTTATTTCCCTTGGTAAAGAGGTCATGTGCTCACGAATTCACCATTTTACGTCACACGCATTCATACCAACATCATCAGCGTACATGCGATTTGCGGCGTGGGCGTGTTTCCTTTACAATGTTGTTAGATTTAAAGTTTGTAATTAAATGATATAATTTTAGTTCCCTATTCCCTATTAAAAATGCCATATATAAACACAAAATAAAAATCTATCTGGTTCAATATAGGAATTTGAAACAGGCATTGCACTGTTGAACCAGATAGAATTCCATACCTGGAAAACCATATAGAAAAGTGATTTCTATATGGATTGCCATATAGGTTCATATTGCTCTATCTGGCCCAATATGGTTTGGGTATGAAAAAATTATTACCATATAGATCCATATTTAACCATATAGGGGAATCTATATGGTTTAATATGCAATTTTTGTTTAAATATATATAATAATAATAATAATAATAGTTTCTTTATTAACGCAAATAATAGCAGTAACAATATATTAGTTTACAGGTACATATAAAAAAAACATATATACATTTTAAAATTGAATTCCATATTCAACCATATAGGGAAATCTATATGGAAAGACACATAAAACAGAAACCAGATAAATCCATATAAAAATCTCTAAGTTGTACATTTTAAAATGAAATTCCATATTAAACCATATAGATTCCAAAGTGTAAACCAGGTCGTTCCATATAGGACATATAGAACCATATAAATCCATATTAGTTTCCTTATCTGGATCAATATGGGTTCTATAGGGCATTTTTAATTGGGTTGGCAGGCTTGGTCAGTGCCTAAACACAATAGCTGCAAGGAAAACATAAAATGGTTGGGCTACTAAAATGCATTTTTACTATTGATTTGCTGTTGTGACCTTCCAACACTCCTTGTTTTCCAAAATGAGAATTGCTCGAAATCTAAGCAGTGTGGGCCCAAGCAGCAAAGAATGACACATTTTGGGCAATGTGTCGACACAGCGTCGAAACATGATTTTGGACACGACACATTTTAAAGACACATAGTCCACTTTAAGACCACTAAGTGTGGAAAATGAGACCAAAGTGGTGATGAAAGTTGTACCAAAAAGTGTCCATAGTTTGCCCACAAAATGTGCCCGATTTTTTCTTAAAATTTGCCCACAATGTGCCCGGTAGTGTGACCAATTTGTGCCCAAAGAGTTTCTAATTTGTATGTTACCAAATGGTCACCATTTGTTCCGAATTGTTGCCAAGTACTGTATTGTATCCTAAAATAAACCCAAATGGACACTAACTATTTTTAATTGGAAACGAATTGGAAACGAACTAGATACAAAGAGGCAAAGTAAGGCGTGATGTCTTATTAATAATTATGTATACAATATAATATTATGAAATACATTATAACTTAAATCTAACATTTTTGGTATATGTTACCTTCATTTTTATTGCGAACAAAATTTTATTGGTGATTATAAGCAAAATACTTTTAAAAATTGATAGGGCCTCACAAATAATAAGTATTTATAATTTTTTTTTATTAAAAAAAAAATTGTTTTCTATATTTTTATCAAAACTAGACGTATGTGCCTTCTATGTAACTTAAACTTTGCATTTTTTAAATTTTAAGTTTAAATTTCACCAGAAAGTTAAATTATGTAAAAAAAATTAAAGCGTCGTATCTGTTTCAACAAAAAAATATGGCGAATTACACAATGTGTCCCTTTGGAACCTAATGCGCCCGCCCCACACATTTTTGAAACAAATCAGACACCATGAATCTAAAATGCAGCTAAATGGAAACTTTTGCGTCCACTTGACTCAATTTGGTAATAAAATGGAAACAGATTGATAAGGTACAATATGGAAACATTGAGTCGACTAAGTGTCGACCCTAATGAGTCTAAATTGTGTTACTATTTCCAAGAGGGCACAAAAGCGACGCAACTTGGGCACATATTTCTGAAATAATGCTACTTAGACCCATACTTTTTTGGACACAATTGGTTTAAAAGGTGTCGACCCAAAGCAACCACAAATTTGAAGAAAGGACACAGTTTCCATTTAGACATAAGTTTTCCGATTTGTGTCGAAACAATTTGGAAACAAAAAGTGTTGTGCCCAAGTTCGGGCACAAATTGCTGCTTGGGGGGGGACCAACCCTTCTCCACCTAACTACCCACTCGAGCTGAGCGTGTTCCGCCGTCCCTAAGCTAGCGAAACCTCTTGGGGAATCGATTTCTGTAGAACTATATTACCTATATTAGGTGTCAAATTGTTGGTTATAATTTCACTGTCGCTCAGTGTATATTCATAAAAATACTATAAATTTACTTTTTTTTTTTTCAGTGTATAACCCTGGTGATAATGTTATTCGAAGCAATAGTAGTTTTAATACGACAATCGTCCCATTTTAGAGTGACCAGAGCATTAAGACCGATTTTTCTCGTGGACACGAAGGCTTGCGGAGCTGTCCGAAGATATTTACGACAAATTTTACAATCACTACCTCCGATTTTAGACATGTTGGTTTTACTATTGTTTATTGTATGTTGTTATGCTGTTTTGGGATTTTTTCTTTTTGCTGGAAACGATAAAAATTTGTATTTCTTAACACTTGATGACAGTTTTGTTAGCATGTTTGTTCTTCTTACCACTGCAAAGTACGTATTGAAAATAATATTTAAACTCATTTATGTTCTATATATTTTTTAGTTTTCCAGATGTTATGATGCCTTCTTATAATAAATCCAGATGGAGTGCGATTTTCTTTATATCATACATATCAATTGTTTTGTATGTTCTTATGAATTTGGTAGGTAACATTTCATGATTGTAAAAGAATTTAAATTTAATATTATTAAAATTATTTTAAGATGTTGGCTGTTGTTTATGAAACTTTTACCGCCGTCGAAAAAGATAAATTCCGAAAATTACTTTTACACAAGAGACAAGCCTGTAAATTAGCATTTAGATTATTAGTTAGTAGACAGACACCCAATGGTATGAAGTTCAAGCAATTCCATGGACTTATGCAGTATTACTCTCCACATTCAAGTAAAATTCAAGAAAAAATTATCAACGAGAAATATTTATTTTTTTACTTTGCATTTTTAGGTTTAAGAGATGTGGTATTACTTTTCAAACATTTAAATACCTCTGACACTGGCTATCTCAGTGAAGATGAGTTTATACATATTTTCGACGCAGTTAATTTACGTTGGTATGTAAAAGATTTAGCGGATCCCTGGTTTTCGGCAGCATGGCCTCCTTTACGCACGTTAAGTCGTACGACAAGAACAATCGTCAATTGGCCTTACTTTGAACACATTGTCTGTATGAGAATTTGTACTTAAATTTTATTATAAACATTAATAATATTTTTAAGATATTTTGATTATTGGTAATGGAATGGCAATGCTCATTAGAGTGATGGAGTATTCAGAGAGTTTGGAAGAGCGGGCCACCTACTTTTGTGCCTCTTGGGATACCTTTTTGTTTCTATCAAGTAAATAAAATAAGTAATTGAATATGAAAGTGTTATTTTTATTTTTTTTAGTATTCCTGATTGAGGCCATGTTAAGGATTATTGCTTTAGGTTGGAATGAATATATTTCATCTGGATGGAACTTTTTTGATCTTTCAGCAACTTTAATGGCTCTAAGTGGTTCTTTATTGCTCTTGGCTAGACCTGATTTTACATTTGTTGTAATATTAAGACCTTTAAGGTAAGTTCTTATTGGATTTTTTTCTAAAGAATTTAATTGTGTTAATTATTATATATTATATTTTAGGCTCTTAAGAGTTTTTAAACTAAAAAAAAGATATCGCGACATTTTTGGAACCTTGGTATTATTATCCCCATTAATGTGTAAAACTGCTATAGTAATGTTGGTGATGTATTATTTCTTTGCAATTATTGGCATGGAATTATTTTCTCAATACAATTTGGTTGACTGTTGCGTGTAAGTACCCAAAATATATACTTCTGCAATCAAGATACAAATTCATAGGGAGAAGACTTTATTTATCGTATTTAATCTTTTAACGTACTTTTAAATATATGCAGTTGCGAAATTCGCTGGTAGAAAAGGTAGACAAAGTCAACCCTTAATAATTTTAGGCAATTCGTTTTTTTATTCCACACTTTAGTTATTCCAATAAACATTGTTTCATGTTTATTTAAAACATTTTAATTACATATTCTGACCTCTCCATAAAATTATATTGTTTAACACGTTGAGCGCATGTGGCAGTGGTGGCTCGTCAGGGTGGGCATCTGAGTCTGCGCCTCCCCCTTAAAATACGACCTTTTGTATTTATCTTTTTACCTATCACAAGTGTACTTTTACTACAGTTCTACACAATAAAAAGTAAAAAATTAATCAATCATACTCATAATCAGACCGAACAGAGGCGAAATATTTATAGCAAGTGAAGCTCCTACTTACCAGCAAAGAGCGTAAACTAGTTACCTACGCGAGTTCGCTTCTATTTGTTTCTGCTTGTGGCGAGATAATTGAAGCTTAAGCAAGCCCAATTGGGCTTGCTCTAATTGGTGGTTTTATATCACATGGCTGAAGATGCGGTGGGTGGCAGTTAGTGTTGCAGTGTGTGTAGAGCGGGTGTTTTTGTTTTGATTCAGATTTAATTATTTACAACTGTTGTCTGATCTTTTATAGTTTTTGTCTCGATTAATAAAGTTTATTACTTTATTATTGTGGTGCATCGGGGTACGCTACACAGGTAAAATTAGTAGTTTTTATTACGCAACAATTCGTATTGAATTTTAATTAAGGTTAGGTTTTTAAAATACCGGTAAGTTTTCTTTAGTTAAATATTTCTGTTTTTTTTTTAATGAATCATGTTTATGGCATTATTCTCTTAATAATTGAAACCCCTTTTATAAGAAGAAACGAATCCGAAAAAAGACAGATATTGGGCAGTCGTCCAACGCCAATAATGTTATCAATATTTAACGATAAGAGGCAGGATAAGCAATATTTACAAACTTTTCAAATATCTTGGTACGAAAGCTATAAGTGGCTATGCAGAAGTATTTATAAGCAAAGCTTATTCTGTTGGCATTGTATTTTATAAGGCCGCGTTATAAACAATTGGAGTTTAAGGGGTGGATTGCTCTGATATTTTATTTGTTTTATATGTATATATATTTTTATCCATCCATATAAATATATTTTATATATTTTAAAGACTTTAAATTAAAGTTTTAAAAAGAATTTATGTTTTTGAGTTTCACAATTTGGGTTAAGATTGCTTTGATATTTTCATTGTTTTGTTTTTTATTTATAATGGTTTAGGCTATTTTAAAAAAGGTCAACGCGTCGCAGAATAATGACGTGAAAATTTATTCGTATTTAGACAAAATTAACCTGATGTAGCCTTACCCACCTATACAGCCGCCACTGGCCTGTGGTCATTTTTAGTTTCTTCGTTCGGACCGTGTGGCCACCCGTGGTCATTATGCATTTGTACATTTAGCGCATGTTCACCTGAAAACATGTTTTATTTGAGTTTTACATATATTAGTCGATTGTTCTGTCCCAGGGGACATCAGATCATAATGAAAAACGGGCTATTTATTTTACATTTTTTAGTTTAAAACTAATAGGGATAGTCAAACTTTTTATACGATGCATTTAGTGACTAAATTTTAGTCTATTAATTTTTCACCAAAACAATAAAGTAAAATATGAAATAATGTATAAAAAAATTAGTTTACATTTACAGTTAGAATAATAAATCTTTAAAAAATATTTTAATAATCATAAAAAAATAATCATATTTCAAAACAAAAGTGCCATAACACTATCTATCCACTGCAACATCATAAACTGAAATGATCTAAATATACACCTATGTACCTACTCTTCTCCTTATACCACTCCGAAATTAAAAGGTATCTAGTTAATTAATATAGTTGGATTACATTAATTTTAAAACATAAATTTCCTTTTTTTATTGTTTATTATAATCCTTGCAAGTAAACAAAATCGTAATTTTGACCACAATTACTTGCTTGAACCACATGCCCATATGCAAAGAGTTGTATTTTTTGTATTATTTTATTGCGTTAAACTTTATTAATTAAATAATTAAATATTACTTCAGTCCTAAAAAATAGGTGAAATACAAGACCCAATTGTATATTTAAGTACCCGATTTTATACGACACTTCTTTATCTAACCATATATTTGTCTACCTTCGCCACAGAATATTTGTACCCGATTTTTGTTCCATGATCTTTTGAATATCGAAAACAAATTGCTCATTGCTACTAATAAATGTTGATTCCTTGGAGCACGTCTAATTGACCACTTTTGTACTTTTAATATGGCTAAAAATTTTATAATAAATACTTTTTTATGATTTTTTTCAAATTTGTTGTCAACCAAAAAATTGACCAAAGTGTTTGTTTTTGAATTTTTTGAGTTTTTTGGATAAAATCATTACTTTTTCACAGGTGGCGATTTTTAATTTTGAATGATAAAAAATATTTCAAGTCATTCTATACTTATAGAATATACGAGGGGCAACTATAAAGGCTGATTAATAGATTGCATTCCTTCGTTCCTCCCTTCCTTCCGTACGGGATTTTATAAAAAGCACAACAGTTTTCCTTTTTTTTTCATCTTTTACGGGAGGATGGAGGAAGGAAGGAAGGCAATCTATAAATCAGGCTTAATGATCTATGATGATTTTTTTTATTAAATAACGCTCTTTTATTAAGAATACGAAAAAGCTGCGTGTTTAATGCGTAAGAAAAGTTTTCTAGGAAACTCACTATTCTGTACCATTATTTTCCTTTAAACATTTGTTTATTAATTTTCTTTACTTATAATTTATATTTCCAAAAGGGGTCGGGTTCAAAAGTGGTAGATTTGTTAGGGGCCGTCCATAAATCTCGTGACGATAAAAATGGTCAAAATTGATCTCCTTGACAAAATGTGACGATGTAAAGACCCCCCTGAAGGATAATGTGACGAATTATCGAATAACCGCAAATAATTTGATTTACTTTGTCACGTCACGGTCGTGACAAACCATGACGGTCCTTCAAACCCCAAGGGGGGCCTTCAGCGTCACGAGGTTTATGGACGGCCCCTTATGGAAAGCGCCCTATATAAAATATACATATTCATAAACATTTTATCTTTTTTTTAGTAATACCACAGTTGAAAATTTTTACCGATTCTCCCAAAACACAACCAAGGGACTTGATGCTTTTTATTATCTTAACAACTTTTCAAACCTCTTAACATCTGGTGTTACATTATTTGAACTAACCGTAGTAAATAATTGGTTCATTATTATGGATGCTTATGCTTGGGTGTCTAAGAACACTTATTCCAGGCTATTTTTTATGTTTTTTTACTTACTAACTATGGTTGTCATCACAATTGTGGTTGCATCAGTGCTTGAGGCTTTTAGGTTCAGAATTCAGTACAAAAAACAAACGTCCAAAAGAGATGGTAAACATTTCCAAATATAAAGATAAATTGTATACATACATTTTTATTTTTAGAGGAACAAATGTTACATGAAAAAGTTGTTTTGGATTGGAATTCAATGCAGAATTTAATACAAGATTCGCATGTTCTTGACTCTGCTCGAAAGGAGTTTGCCTTTATTGTAGGGATAATATAAGTTTATGTAACCATGTAAAATCATTTTTATAAAATTTTAGGATGTTTGTTCATATGTGGGCAGACGTCGTAGGACAAGGGATGTTTTGCAAAGGCACATGTACGCCACTGAAATAGCTCAGTGGCTTCAGGAAGCAGAAAATGAAGAAGTTGGAATGATTAATGCCATGATTGAAGAATCTCAGGTAGAAGCTAGATTTGTTGGCCCAGAACCAAGTGTATAGAATTTTATGTAAAGAAAAAGTTAATACTGGGTTTTCTGAAAATGGCGCAGTAGCTCCATGTGATAGGGGAGGTCATTTTAATTATAAAATATTACAAATTTGTATTCTGACAAGTACTTTGGAAGTTATAAGGTTCTTAAAATTAGATTTTATTTTTTTTCTTTAAGAAGAAAAAATAATTAATTAATACAATAAATGTGTTAACTTCTGGGACAATCTGTGTAATAAATACTATTTATTAATTTATTTATTAATATAGAAGGATTGGAAACGTTAAAATTTGCATATTACAGTGTGTAACAATTTGTTACTAACAAATGAAATAGTGGAGCAAAAAATTGGTATTTTATTTTTAGTATGTCAAATATTGTATTGAATTTATTTTTACACTGTTCCCTTGACCCCTGGGGTTCCACTGAGCACACTTTGAGAAATGCTGCTCTAGATGAAGTAAAAAAATTTTACTGCATGTTATTTACAGGAAAACCTTCATACGGTTCTTGCTCTCCTGAACAAATATTTAAATGTATCCATTTGTTTTTAAGATATTTAAAATTGTTAAAACCGCGCTACTTGCAACCTGAAGACTTCCCTGTTTGGTTTTTGTTGGGCCACCCTATAAAAAAAACTAAATAAAATAATTATTTAAAAAAGTACAAATAATATTCATGATTAAATAGTTGATATTATCTAATAACCACCGACGGTGAAGTAATGGTTAGTGCTGCTAGCTTGTAATAATAATGTTAATAAATATTTTTGATTTGATTTGATTTGCTGCTGACTACAAGCCTACACAGCAAACGGAAAAATATAGAAGTGTATTGGATGACGTCACATTTGAATACAGTTGTCTAAACCCCTTGCCACGGTATAGAGTTGTATTCGTCAGTCGAGCGTTTCAATACTCTCCACAGTGAACTACCTAGTATTAATATGAAAATTATTTTATGCTTGAAAAAAAAAATACGACATGATTGTGATTTTTTTCATTTTATTAATTAATTAAGCCGTGTTGAATATTTTTCCTAAAGGAATAATTGTCAATGGGCCATTAATTCATTTGTTTGTAGATGCTACAATATCTGCACTGGTGTATCAACCAGATTTAAATATTGCTGAACTAACAAAACTACCAGTGGAGATGTGCAGGGTCTACCAACAGACTTCATTACTAAATTATTGAAGTATATATCGATTATTTTTTCAACATATGTTGTAAAGCACAGAGGATATGATGTTAAGTATATACTTTACTTTAAATATTTATGTATTATATAAAGTACCTATATTTTTATTAAAAATTTCAGAGGAAATATAACCTCTGAAATTTTTAATAAAAATATAGGTACTTTATATAATACATAAATATTTAAAGTAAAGTATATACTTAACATCATATCCTCTGTGCTTTACATACCTGTGTTGTTACGGTAAATAAAAATCAGACAAAGAAACCAAAGAAAGGAACTATTTTCAACAAAATGATATGCAGAAATGAGAAAATTCAAACTACTTGCATCCATCAAAAGATCAAAACTTCTTGCAATATTGAATTATACTCTCAGAAATATTGACTAGAACAGTATTAGATATACTCCAGTTTCTATAACTTGGTAGAGTAAAAAGTATTGGATTTCGCTGTTTTTGTATAATTCTCGGGGACATTAACGAAAATCATTGCCAGTAAAATTCGAAAAGCTTGAGTTTCTATGTCTCTGAAGAGAATAGGAATCCGAATTTGCTGCACCATTGGACTGAACCCTTTTTCAATAATTTCTAGAGACATAAATGACTGCAAAATTCGACTGGGTCGAGTTTCTACCTCTCTGTTGAATATAAAAAATAAAAATAATGTATCTTGTAAGCATAGAAATAATGTGTATTATTTCTATGCTTGTAAGACATCATTGAGTTTGACTTCAAATATAGTCGTGCATAAGTATAGATGCGAAAAATATATAAATTTATATATTAACAAAGCACGAATCAATACAGTTCTGACTTTCAAACGGGAAGTCATCGTATACAGTTCTATAATTTTTCGTTTGCTGTGTAAAGGTCGTGGGTTCGAGTTCCACATTGGAATGGTTGTTTATTTGTATTTGTCCTATTGTGAATAAGCCCTTCGGAAGGAACTTTAAGCTCGCGGTCCGTTTCTACTTCTAACCCGCGCAAGCAATTCAGTTTGCTTCTTCATTTAGAGAACATAGCAACTACCTAGTGTAGATTACTGAACTTCACTTTTTTGTATTTTTTTCAATTAATAAATACATTATTATAATTATTATTATTTTTTACAAACGAATTAAAAGATAAATATTTAAGAGCCAGACTGGCTCAGCCAGTCTTGAAATTAATTAAAACTTAAATTCCTTATAACTTTAAAACTACTAGTCAGAAAAAAACTGCAATTGCTTATAAATAAAATATGCGCCATTTAAGGAACCACATAATATTTTTATTTATTTTAATAACGCAATTTAGAAAATTCAGTAGGTGTAGGTGTTTATTTCATAGTATGCCTTTAATGCTTAAACGAATCAGTATTATTTAATTTATTTGTTTTAGTAAGGCAAAACAGAGTTTCTTACGTAAATAATCATAATCCCAAAGTAAGGCAAACATTTCTTATTGCTAGAAACAGATAGTACAAATTTACAGTGTAAAAAATGTCATGTCAGTAAAATGTGTACTAAAAAATGGGCATTGGCTATTTATGAAAAAAACGCCGAAACTGGCATTTATTTTTTATTTAAAAACTAGAGTAAAAAATGTATGTTCGGGGAACACAAAAAAGTTATAAAGGTCATGAGTTCTGAAGGTTTGACTTAATTTAACTATAATAATTAGATAAATGTTTAGACAAAATGTTATGAGCTTATTATTGTAAATAACCAAATAAATGTGTAGATACTCATAAAGATAATAATTATATTTTTTACTAATTTAATTTTTTATTTTGTATTGTAGATTAATGTGATAATAGTTGTAACTAGTCTAAAAACTCATATAATTTTATCATTTGTTCATTAATTTATTGATTTATACATGTATAATATTATTAATAAAATTTTATAGATTATTAAGGGTATTATTTTTAAACAATAAAAATAATATTTGTATATATATATATATACATACAAAATATTTGGTTTTAAAATGTGATTTATTGCCTAAAATAAATAGCTTTACATTAAAGGTAGGTATTTATAAAACAAATTAACGAGTTCAAAATTTAACACCTTGTATCCCCTTGTGGAATTTTTTCTCTGGAAAAGTTTTAATAAGTAAAAATATGAGTTTTGAAAGTCTTACTTTCTCTTCAAAACTCAGAATAAGACTAAGTCAGACTATTAGCAAGAATTTGGAGTCTTAATTAAATTTATTATAATATATTTTTTTGCACAGCGATTAAAATAAACATCTGAAATTATTCAGAAATGTAAAGAAATACGTTTGGTTTGTTTACAAACACTTATAATGTTTTCGACAGTCGAACTCATATAAAAAAAATGTGGTCGAACTTGGACTTGCCTTCAATTCAATTCAATAAATCTGAATACAGAGTATCTCTGTATTCAGAGGTTAATGGCCTTTAGCTTTTTTAGAAGCTATTTGGCCAGCTCATTCGTTTTTTTTCTTAGTTGAAAGACAAGGTTCCCATTTAAGAGTGTCTGATCGTTCTCATCCCTTGTCTTGTGTACTTGTTTCACTGTGTATTTGGTATTTTTTCTTCTTTTCTTATTGACCTGGTTTGTTTTGTTTTTCACTTGCCTTCATGCATGGCTTTTGTGTTTTATGGTACATACAGTGTTGCCTGATGAATCTCAACCAGTTTTATTTTAAGTTTACCTACTAGCGCAATATTAATATTAATTTAAAATATTTATATTAAGTCAATAAAAATGTTACAGGATAAAATAAAATAATTTTGCATATTTAGTAAATAATAGGACCAGGATCCAAATAAAATAACGGTTCCTGTCCGGTTCCGAGAGAAACGACAATTTTCGGTTCGGGTTCAGTTACGGTTCCAAAAAAATATTTATGTGCTGTTCGGACTAATATTTTCGGTCCATACGGTTTTTTTCGGTTTTAATTTTATTACCATGTATAACCCAAGTAACATTTTTTAAGAAAGGTAGTTTTAATAATGGTTTTAATATGGTTTTATTGTTGCACAAAAAAGAGACGCTGTTTTATTAAGGCAATATATTTTTCTAATGAGACTGCAGGATAAAATACTCTTAAAGAAATGTTTTATAGAATATTGTAAAACTATATGATAAAACTGTTTTGTTTTAAAATTGAGTTTGTTTTAATACGGTTTTATGTGCATTAATTATTATGCTATTTTAAAACTCTTTGGTTCTATAGTGCTCTTAAGGAGTACATGCCCTTGTGGAAATTTTTCTCTGAGAAAGTCTTACTTTCTCTGAAAAAGTCTGAATAATACTTATTAAGTCGGAAAAAGTCAGAATAAGACTTATTAAGTCGGAAAAAGTCTGAATAAGTCTTATTAAGTCAGACTAATAGCAAGATTTGGGAGTCTTCTGGAAGAGTTAATAAGACTTTTTAAGACTTAATAAGACTTTTAGTAGAGAAATAATTCATAGAGGTTGTATTTGGTTATCGTAAAAAAAAACACATAGAAAAGTATTTATTAACATTTTTGCTGTTGTTATAAGCCAAGTTTATTGCATAATTACCTATATAATAACATAGGTAAGATGTAATAATTAGGTATAACAATTATAATTTTATACATACGATGCGCTTCACATGCATGTTAGATGTGATAGATTAAAATGCACTTTTTAAAAAAACAACATTTACTTTATTAAATAACTTTTCTACAAGAAATTAAATTGAAGTTAACTTAATAAGATATAAAATATAATGAATACAGAATATAACTAGACAGTCCTATTTATATGTTTTAGGAACTATATTAAATTCAAGGATTATAATTAAGATTAAACTAACATGAAACTGAAATAACTTAAAATAAAGGTTCTATTGAAATTTGTTATTAAACAAATAGAATAATAATGAAAACAATAAGTCTTTATACAAAATAAAAGTCAGCAATGGAATATTTCCATCAAACTGCGTATTGTCCTTGATATATGCCGTTTAGGCCGATATAACAACACCTCCCGCACTTAAAGAATTTTTGTTCTATCGAAGAACTAAAATTTCACTAAA